TATTTTTTTTTATTAATTATTATTTAATATATTTTTTTTTATTAATTATTATTTAATATATTTTTTTATTAATTATTAATTAATATATATATTTTGTTTTAATTATTTAATTTTTTTTAATTATTAATTTTTTTTTAATAAAATTTTTTTTAAAATTATTTAATGTTTTTTTTTTTTTTAATTATTTAATATTTTTTATTATTTACTATTATTTAAATTTTTTTTGTCATTATTACTTAATAATTTTTCGGTTTTTCATTTTAATTCTATATTTTGTTTATTTTATAGTTCATTATTATTTATATTTGTTTTTAATTTCTATTAATATTGTCATAATTCTTATCAGTTTTACAATAATAGGTCAAAAGTAAAAAATTTCCTCTCCTATCACTCCTATTACTTCATTCAGCAGAGACTCGCAAATTTCTTCAGTATAAATATTGCATTAGTACCTTAGAGCTGCATTTCATATACATATTTCATAAATAAATTTTGGATATCAATTATTCTTTTATTCATATAACAAATCAATAATTTTTCAGCTAAACATTTTGTTTTCACGCTATCTACATTTATTTATAAATATTTAGCGTGGGTTTACATCACTAAAAACTTCTACATCTTCTCACCATTGCAGGTTGAAGTGGAGCCGCCAAAGCAACTGCCTGCGAAACCTGCCAAAACACCGCGCAAGCGTCAACCGAAAAAGACGCTCGTTACGAACGACTATGCGACGGTGCGCAGCCCACAGCAGGATGTGGTGCAGCATCAGCAACAACAGCAAGCACAACAACAACAACAGCAGCAACAGCATCATCAGCAGCAGCAGCAGCAGCAACAACAACAGCAGCAACAGCAACAACAACAACAAGCTACCTACTATGATTTCAATAGTAAATGGAATACGCCCTTGAAGATCGAGAACAATACGCCGTCGCCGGTTGCGCAAGCGCCCGCCATTAGCATACCGACCTATGTAAATCCACATGCCGCACAACAGCAACAGCAACAACAGCAGCAACAACAACAACAACAGGTGCAGCAGCAACAGCAACAGGTGGCAGCGCAACAACAGCAACAAATACCGCAACCAGCGCATATGCAGTCATCGCAAGCGCAGTCGCAGGCGCATCTCACGAATTTATCTTCGTACTATTCGAGCACATTTCCACAACAAATTGCTTCACAGTACACGGCATGCATGCAGCAGAATGCAGCCACAGCTGGCGCCATACCACATACGCTTTATAATCTCAATCAACCACAGCAACAGCAGCAGCAACCGCTGCAACAGTCACCGCCACAGCAGCAGCAACAACAACCACCTACACAACCGCCACAGCAGCAGCAGCAGCAAGCGCAGGCGCAAGTACAAGCACAACTACAGCAACATGCGCCACAACAGCAGCAAACGCAACAACAACAACAGTCCAACGCAGATGCACCGCCCGCTGCCAATGATCCGAGCAATAAAGTGATTGTGCCCAATATCGAAGAGGAATTGGACTTTCTCACCGACGCTGTAGCGCCTAAACAGGGCTATGCGAACTCTGCAACGAACTTGAACAATAGCAATGGGCGTAGTGCCACAAATTTCGGCATACGTCATCCCCAAACGGAGGCACAAAGTGTTGGCAGCACGCCAGCGGTCCATGCGCTCACTAATAACGGCCTAACAGCGCCGGCGGCGGCGACGGGCGCAACGTTAGGCAATAGTATTGTACCGGGTAGCGAGCGTAGGCCGGTTGTTGGCACTTCGATTGGCGAAAAAAAGACACAGTTCATGGATAGCTATTTGAAGTTCCTGCAGGGTGAGCGTGACGATTCGCCACCACCAGCTGTGGTTAAAAGTGGCCGCAAGGTGAACTATCAACGTTCGCCGGGTGGCAATACGGCAAAACGTACAAAAACCGGCAATGGCAATAACGAGGAGGCGGCAAGCGCTGGCGCGACTGGGCAAACGAGCGAGCAGCAGGCAAACCAGCAACAAGCAGGCGTTGTTGATGAACAAAATCCCGGTTTGTCGGCTGATGACGCGCATCGTATTAAAATACTCTCACAAACGCAGATATTGCCGAAGAAGCGACCACAGGCGCATATGGCGGCGGCGGCGGCAGCAGCTGCTGCTGCCGAGACATCAGCTGCAGCCACAGCGAGCACAGCGTCGGTCATACAGCATCCAGCTGAGCAGCAGCAGCAGCAGCAACAGGCGCAACAACAGTTACAACAACATCAGCAGCAGCAGCAACAACAGCAGCAGCAATCATTCCGCCCATATGGGCAGCAGATTCCGACCCAAACACAACAACCGCAACAGGCGCAACAACAACAGCAACAACAGCAGCAGCAGCAACATCCACAACAACAGCCACAGCAACAACAGCAACAATACTGTGCACAATTGGGGTTTAGCGGTGGTGGTGGCGGTGGCGGCGGCAGCAGTCAAGGTATGTTGCCTGACCAACAAAATTCCTCCAGTACTACCACTACTAGTAATACGATAGCACCCACCGCTGCCGCTGCTGCTGCAGCAGCTGCCGCTGGCGTAACGGCCGGTCATCATCATCCTTTAATAAATTTTCTGTGGCCTTGGCATTGATGAGCGCGACTGTGCGTTGTTGTGTTGCAAATTTGCTGACTGTTTTAATTAGTTGGCTGGTGGCGCATGCGCAGTCGGTAGCGTTGAGATGGTGAAGACAAAAACAAAATGAAAATGTATCACAAGCGCGTGGTTGTGGTGAGAAAATAAGCTCACACCCACCCATATCTCTCCTATCTCTCTCTCTCTCTCGACCACAATTTTGCGTGGAAAAAGACGCTGCCGCAGCAACGCGAACGTACCCATGCTCGTTCGCGCGCAAAAGACAATTCGTGAACAACCAAAAAAAACACAAAACAGAAAAAAAATGAAAAAATTCAAAGCAAAACCATACGAATGGGTTTGAAGCGTTCTAATTATCGTGCTAATTAAAACATGAATGAAAATAAGAAATTATTTAAAAAATAATAATAATAATAACTAAAATCAAAATTAATGGCAGCAAAAATGATTTGTTACAATACATACATATATAATAGAAAGAAAAAAAAAAAGATACCAGTTGATAAAATGGAATTAAGTATTTTTTGACAAAAGAATGCAGCAAAGAAACAAAAGTTCTTACTTAAAAAAAACATTTTGTGTTTTTATTTCCCAACCAGATGGATAAAGCATTTCTATGCATGCGAAATGGGATGTTATACTTCATTTACATTGCTCACTTAAAACGCTCTGGCCAAAAAGAAAACCGAAAGTATAAAAAACTTACTAGTCTTCAATTTAAATTGGTTCAATTAATTGAAGTATAAACCAAAAAAGCAGCAAAAATTCAAAAAAAAAAAGAAAGAAATTTTTCAACACATTTTCTTCTAACATCAGCAGAGTGCGCGCGAACGAGCGTTTGGGGCGGAAATTCTAAACTGTTTCACTTACCTATTTCACTTGCGTCAGCGGCCAAGTCACAGTCCAATGATGAGACCGCACATTCAATGTTCAGTCGCCATCACGGCCAAAGCCACCACGAAACATAACTAAATCACATTTAAAATTACTACTCGCACCTCTCTAAACATGCACACACATTCACTTCAATTCCACTTTTATTGTTAAGCAATCACGCTCACTCTAGTACAGCACCTTTAGTCAACTAAGTTTTGTTATAAGAGTTGTAGTAACTGTAGGCAGGACTTAAAGCGCAAATATTTATAATTTAAGTGACAGAGGAGAATTGGGAATGATTCTACTTTACGTTTGTTTTTAAGTGTGTAGAGTATTTTTGAAGTATTTATGGGTATTTAAATTTTTTTTTAATTTTTTAAATTTTTTTTTTAATTTTAAAATTTTTTTTAAATTTAATTAAAAAATTTTTTTTTAATTTAAAATTTTTTTTTTTTTAATTTTTAAATTTTTTTAAAATAATTTTTTTGTTTTAATTTTAATTTTTTTTTTTTTTTTTGTTATAGTTTTTTAATTTTTATTTATTTTTTTAATTTTTATTTATTTTTTTAATTTTTTAATTTTTTTTTTTAATTTTTTTTTTAATTTTTAATTTTTTTTAATCGTTTCAAAGTTTTAAATTACTAAATTTTACATTAATGTTGCTATATGAATGCTAGAATTTCCCACGAAGCACATTTTTTTTAATAAGTCGAGGCTTTCATAAACCGAAACGTTAACTTTGATTGCACCGAAGCTATAATATTCTTCACAAATACAAAAGATGCCATACAAGAATTTGTTTTTAATTTGGTAGTCAGTCAATATTCCATGCCAAATTTCGTGAAGATATCTCGTCAAATAAAAATGTTTAACATACAAGCACTTGATTGAGTTTGTATGGCAACTATATATAGTGGTCCGATGTCAGCGGTTCCGAAAAATGAGCAGCCTCTTGGGGAGAGAAGGGCGTGTGAACGATATTTGACAAACTGAGGGGCAAGTTTGCGTGTATACAGACAGACGAACATAGCTAAATCGACGCAGCTCCTCATGCTGATCATATATATGTATATATATATTTTACAGGGTGTTTGACGTTTCATTTTGGGTGTTACAAACTTAATATACGCTGTTCAGTGTATAAAAATGTTGTAGTCACTCTTTGAAATACTTTATAATAGAAATGAATTGAATTGGAATTAGATTACAGCAACAATTCTTTTGATTATAACCACAATTCTTTTGATTACAATTCTTTTGATTACAATTCTTTAGAATACAATAATCATTCAATTAAATAGCAACAAAATTTTTTTTAGACTACAACAATTCTTTAGATTACAACAATTCTTTAGATTACAACAAATTACAACAACCAATCCTTAAATTACATTGACAATGTTATTTCGCATTCGAAACCCTTCGTATAAAGTTTAGACAATTGAGATCTGCTCTATTACCACTACATAAACGTGTGCGTCCACCTTTTTTTTTTTAGACACCCTGTTTAGTATCTGAGGTATATATACATTTTAGTTTAGTTAATCATATTTCTCTTTTGCATACATAGGTTGCTCAACTGGATAAACGCTTTAAACTACTCTCACCTTGTAAGAGATCTATGTATATAACTGTATATACATATATATAGCATAACGGGAATTTCACTTGCACCATTGTCTATAACTCCATAAGAACTCTCTCATTATAAACACTTCTAACCGTCATATCTAACAACACACATACACCCACCCATCTAACCACAACACGTATACACTCACCACATCAAACAGAACTTAGTTCCTGTCCTTACCATTTGCATTACGGCTTGACTTGCCTCGTCTTTTAGATCCACTCACATTGCCGCCACGACGCGAGCAAGGTCTACGCAAAGCGAAACAGACGAGCATGCATGCCATGTTCATGAGTACGGGCACAGCAGGTGGCGCTAGCGGCAGCGGTATGGCCGATAATGAAGATCAAGAGCCCGATGAATTCGCGGACTCCGATACGGATCCCGTTTGGACGCCACAAGACGATGATGTAAGTTTGTGTTAAGTTAAGTAACACGAATTTTATATTTATAAATCAAAAATCTACAAATATTTGGCTTTTAGAGCGATGAGGGCGGCAGAAGCTATCGTCGGAAGACATCGCGTAGAAATAAGAGTGCACCGCGTAAAACTACTTATAATCAGCAGCCGGAGCAACAGCAACAACAAACGTCGCTCAATCAAGTACAACCACAACAGCAACAACAACAACCGCAACAACAACAGCCACAGCAGCAGCAACAGTTGACGCAACAACAAAATGTTGATGGTTATACACCGAATAAGGCCAATGCATCATCGTATGCCAACGCCACGCACGATGCGGACAATTTTAAGGTACCCAGTTAGCTACATTATTGATACACTTCTATTGGTTGAGTCTTTTCTAGAAAGCAGCGTTCAAAAAATAGACCAAATTTCGATTTTGTTAGTGTTTGTTTAAAAAAAATTACCTCCAAGCCTCTCATGATACTAGTAAAATAGCTTACTGTTGTATGTCGGGATCGATAAGAGTTAAGGTTAACACTATAACAACAACGATTACAACTCCCAGCTAGAGTTTCGATAAACGATATAAGCAACTTTCTAAGGCAGTCGGGTCAAAAAACCTTGTCACCGCCCACTTTCGAAAAAGATGTTATACTTCAGAAACCACTTTAGTTAAAATAAAAAAAAAAAAAACTTCATTTAAAGCTCTCTTAATTATTACTATTTGTAATACAAAATATTTAAAATGAAGCTTATTACATAACCTTAGATTTTTGTCCAAAATGTCGAAATTGATTCAGAACTTTAACTGGTCATAATATACCGAATATATTGACTGACTTGTGCAATTGCAAAAATGTGTCTGATATCCTATTAAGATTGACAAAATCGGACCATAACCACACCCATTTTCTACAATATATGACGGGATTTTTTACTCCTCACATTATTATGCTTTGTAATAGAAAATTTTAAAAATTAAACTCAACACATAACCTTACATTTTAACACAAAAAGCTTTAAATCGGTGCAGATTCTTTAGCACACTTATATCAAATATCGACTTGAATTTCTGTTCGAATTTGTATCTATCTTATTTTCTTTCCTTGTCTTATGTTTAAACTTCCATTTTCTCCCCACAGACCGGTGATTTCATTGTACTCCGTTCCGATTTGGTCAACGACTGGCCGATCATCTGGCAAGTGGACACCCAATGTATTCTACAAAAATATGAGCCATTCTGCCAGAATGGCAAAATGTTCTATCGCAACATGTCAATGGTAAGCGAAATAAGTCAGCAATTATTAAAAATATAACTAAATTCCTCGCTTCCCCTTTCCTACAGTATTCATCATGGAATCTTGACTCAAAGAAGCTATATGTTAAGGCGCCCGTACGCATACAAGTGCAATCGCACAAGGAGACTATTGTGGAATTTATGCGTTCCGAGCTGTTAGCCGACGATACCGAGCAATTTATTGAGAAAATTATGGAAGACTATTTGCGTTATCGTGATAACTTCGAAATTTACATACAAACAATGATATCACAGGTGCTGGATCCAAGCTTTTTCTTGGAAATAACTAGAGAAAAGGGTGAGTAGGCTCGCTATTGAATTATTTTGAGACTACTAACTAATTTTCTTTTTTTTTTTCACCACACTCACCACTAGATGAATACTTTTTGGGCAGCGTACGCATTATCGATAGCATAATGGATAATTGTAAGCGTAAATTACTCTCCATTACGCCATGGACGCGCAGTATTATCGTTTCAATTGAAACTTATCCCAAGTGTCATGTATTCACCGAGTGGGGACAAAATAATCTGACACAGAAAAATTGTGGCGGTTGTCATCAGCCAGGCATATCGGTGCGCTTTCTGCTGTTTGGTAATCCCTATCATGCCAATACGATGCAACCGGTGCCCGTGGATACGCGCTTGGCTTGTGAGAAGGTAGGCCTGCAGCTATTTTATTTATTATTTTTTTATTTTTATTATGGCATCTTCTTTATTTGCTAATCCACCAGGACATACTGTTGTGTCGCATTTGCGCTGCCCGTGCTGATATATTCCATAAGATTGCTCATGAAAAGTATAATTTGTATATACATTGTTCGTCACGTGTTGGTGAACAACAACAAGAATATCCGGGCAAATCGTCAACGGAAATTTTAAACGATCTACTAGCCGAACACAATTGGGTGGATGAGGTGTGTATGCCTTCATTCAAGTTGCTATAACAGCAGTTTCTAACTTTACAACTTGATTTATTTTACAGTTATTCCGCAATATGCGCAACTCCTGGGCTGAGGTGGAAAGTTTAGAACGTCAAAAACGTTTTCGTGAAGTCTCACAATAAAATTAATCTACTGTAATATGAATATATATTTAATAACTACGCATCAGCAACGCTGGTATTGGTGCTCATACATATGTACATGCTGAATAAATTCAGCCGATAAGTTGCCGTGCAATAAACAGCCCAGCAAGAAAAACTAACGAAATTCCTTATACAATTCTAACTACACCGAAGCAAAAGTGCAGAAACAAAATTAATGCAATGAATAAAGTATAATTAACGTAAATGTTAGCAGAAATAAATATTCTTGTACCAACTGTTATTAGCGCGTCTGAGCCAGCGCAAACTTATGCGCCTGCAAACAACGTACAGGTGTGCGCTAAGCGGCGTTTTTAAGCGCCATGCAAAATACAAATCTATATAAAAAGTATAAAATAGCAGTTACTAAGTATCTAAATACATATATTACATACTACGTATACAAATACATATACATATATACAATACAGTTTAGCATATAATATGCATTTTTTTATGTGCATAAGCATAAGTTAACCTAAAAATTGGTTGACAAGCATTATTGTAGTTTACATGTTTTTTTAATAAGTTTAGTATAAAAATATTTACTATTTCTATTTTTACGAATATAAATATTTTCGTTTTGGTGCGCAAGGCTTGGTATGTGCTCATGTGCGCGTTTTGGTTTTGAGTGGAGAAAATTGTTAATTTCATAAAATGCGGTGTGTTTAAAATTTATTGAGTTTAAATCTAGATTGCAAGAATTTCTTTAAATTCCTTTTTTTAAAAATTTGTATTTTTTTAATTTTTGGTTTTTTTAATTTTTGTAAGTTTTTGAAGTAAAAAAGTGCGTGACACCATTGTTTTTTTATTTTTGTTTAAACATTTTTTTCACATCTTTGTCTTGTTTTTTTTTATTAAAAAATTTTTTATTTTATTTCCAAATTTTTTTTTATTAAAAACTTATTTTCAAAATTTTTTTTATTATTTTATTTTATTTTCAAAATTTCTTTTATTATTTTATTTTATTTTCAAATTTTTTTTTATTAAAAACTTTTATTTTTTTTATTTCCTCTTTTAATTTTGGTTTTAAAAATTTTTATTTTGTTTAAATGTTTATATTTTAAATTGTTAATATTTTGTTTCAAAATATTTTTTTTTCTGTTACAAAAATGTTTTTATTTTTATTTTTCTGTTTCTGTTTCAAAAATGTTTTTTTTTTCTGTTTAAAAAAATGTATTTTTCTGTTTCAAAATTGTGTGTTTTTGTTTTGTTTCAAAATTTTTATTTTGTTTAAAAAGTATATATTGTTAATTTTTTGTTTAAAATTTTTTTTTTATTTCTATTTCAAGTTTTTTTTTTATCTTTTCGGTTTCTGTTTCAAAAAAATTAATTTTTCGTATGGTTTTCTACTAAAAAATAATTTTAAAATAGTTATAGAGCTATAAAAAACAACAAGAAATAAAACTAAATTTTAATATCTATGCTTTAACCTTTTTTTTTTGTAATTTAACCAATAATATCAAGCCTTGCGTTCACTAAATGCATTAAACTATTTCGTTTTCCACCGCATTTTCAAATTTTCATAAGCAAATACTTTATTTTAAACGTAAATAATTTTTTTTTTTTTGCTTTCTAATATTAAATTTTAATTTTCTATGCATTGCAACTAAAACACAAACTACGAAAGACACCAAAAACGCAAAACACTAAATGCGCGTCAAGTGTTGTGAAATATTTTAAAACTTCTTATAAGCAATAAAGCCAATAGCTAAATGTTTTATTAATTGGCAAGTGTAAAAGAAACCAAAAAATATGCATAAATGTTAATAAAAATCTAACTTTGTTTTTCAAAAACAATTTTTTGATCAAATAATTTCAATTTAAAAGAAAATTTTTGGGGCATATGAATTTATAAAATAACGTGAAATATTATTTTTAAGTATTCTAGGCACACATACACACATACGTACATACGCCAGTAAAACACCTGTAAATAAATCATAAATGAACAAATACGCTAAAGAAAAAATTACAACAATTTATATGTAAGCAGTAATTAACATTATCAACAACGAATAAGATTCGCCGCCAAACAATTACGTAACATATTTTTGCTGCTCAAACGCTTGACAATACACACATGCGAGTAATTTGCTAACAACAACTATTATATGCATTATATGTATATTATATATATATATATATATTATATACACCTTTCAATCAAAATCTAGTTAGCATTAAGTTACACACCGGCACAATTACTGTCCTATGTAAAACTTGTAATATATATATATATAAATATATGCACAGTAATTAAATTAAATGATATATATGTATACATATGTATGTATATGTATATATTATCTTTTTTTTAATTTTAATTTTAATTTTATTTCTTTTATCTGTTTAGACGCTATTTGTAATCAAAAACTTAGTAACCTTTATATTATATACATATGTATATCAGTATGTTATAGTTGTAGACATAGCTACTCCACACACTGTGTTTATATTAAATGGAATTTTTTTAATACACTTTACTTCCAAACAATTTCAAATATTTTATTGTTAAATTTACTTTATTTGAATTTATATTAAATAGAAATTTATTTTTAAGCGCTTACATGGAAATTGTATGAGCCAAGAAATGATGAAATATATATAAACATTAATGCATAAACATGTAAAAAACTATTATATATTTTATATACATACTTAAAGAAATTTACGGACAGCACTTTTGTTTAACTCAAAGCGTCAAATATGGCGTCACACTTCACAAACTTTTTTGTACTTACTATTGCTCACAAAAAAAAAGCGAAAACTAAATTACAAAAAAACAAAATAACTGTTATTGCTATTTGCTAATTGCTTTATTTAAATAATTAGTTTTATTACAAGCAAATACTGTTATTTTAAATATTATTGTGTTTTGTACAATACCTTTAAATCACATTTTTGTAGTTGTTGTTTAATTTTTATTACCTTTCGCTTTTTTAATTTAATTTTCTTTAATTTAATAACTTTTATTTCGTTTACTTTAAAATAGGTACCTTTGTTAGCTTCTACAGTATTTCCATAATTTAACTATCATGTTCAATTCTGCTAATTAATCACTACCTCTACATATGATATATAACAACAATATAAACATATAAATAGTAACAAATATAGTAGCAAATATTTTCCACTATCTTTTACTATTTTTCTTTTATTAAAAATGTAAATACTTTCAAAATAAAGGCATAACACTTTGGTAGCGCTGTTGCGAGTGCTTACTATTGCCTCAATTAATCAAAAAAAAATACATCATTTAATATAATTATCAACACAATTAATGAATTTCACGCCTCACTCTATAGACACTACGCTGCACTTTGTTATTAAAATAATTATAAAATGATCGCGCTGTCGGTTTAGTCACTGCGACGGTTTATTTTCTTATAAACTTTATATAATTAACACGCGATTTTAAGTGTTTCAGACGATAACTTAATTGAGCCAATTAGTTCTTTGTTTACACTGAATAGCGAGAAAAAACACTTATAGACTCAATTAGCTGTCTTACTGAAGCGCCTATTTTAATTTAAGGCTTAGGAGCGTTTTAGACAGCTCCTTTATTGAGTCAATAAACTCTAAGCATTACTTGACTCAATTAAGCGGCTCAAGTAAGTGACTTTCTGAAGCGAATTAAAATAGTTTAAGGCTTAAGAGCGTTTCAGACAGCAACTTAATTAAGTCAATTAGCTAATTTTTTATATTCAAAATTTTAATTTTGGAAAAGCATCACTAATTGACTTAATTAAGTGACTTCCTGTAGCTCCGATTATATACTAATACTCTTCTCAATTTCTTTTACTGGAATGCTTGTGGGAGCAATTGTGTAGCTCAATTTAAGCAATTTATTATTTTTTCATAACTCCCCTTAACTATTTTCATCACAGCTGCTACACACCACCCTGTTTCTCTTTCTCTCTCTGATACCCTGCTTTTCATCTCTCACAGATACACTGCTTTTTCTTTCTCTCTCTGCGACACTGATTTTTCTTTCTCTCTCTGAGACACTGATTTCTTTCTCTGATTGACTGATTTCTCTCCCTGATTGCTCTCTCTCTCTCCCCCTGATTGCTCTCTATCTCTCTCCCTGATTGCTCTCTCTCTCTCTCCCTGATTGCTCTCTCTCTAATTTTTTAGGACACTAACTACTCTGTAACCCTGACTACTCTCTTCCTCTCTTATAGTTATCCACTAATACTTCAGTATGGCTTCAAGCATATCGTATTTCTGTAAATCTAAAATATTGCCAATCATACGCCTTTTAAATATGGGTAAAGTGCGCTCAGTCAAAATATCCAGTTCATCGACCAACTCGGCGGCGCTTTGACTTTTTGTGGACATTGTTTTGTGGTGATTGCTCTTTTGTCGCTGCTGCGCCACTGCACTTTGTACTCCTCTTCCGTCATCGTTTGCTTCATCTGTGTCTGAACAATCCGATGAGGACGATGACGACGACGAAGAGAGTTCTTGTATGGCTTCGGAGACTTTATCCAAATCGGGTAATTCACTCGCATTCGATACGAAGAATGGTACCGCAAACGCGGACATGCAATAACCATAGACGCCGAATTGTCGTAATTGCTGGCGGAATATTGCTTCGGGATATAGGATAGCGGGATCCAATTCGTAGTCGCGTATGAACTGTGCCAATGTGTCGTAATAGATTTGCATGAATTCATTGAAATGCGCATCGCGTAACGGTTTCTCTGTGCAGGCGTAAAGATAGTGTACCAGATCCAAGATTGGCGGTGAGTAGCGCGAAATTTGAAAGTCAATCAGTTTGGCCTTGATGGCGGTGTTGCGCTGCTTGTTGCTGGACTGCAATAATATGGTGTTGAATGAAATTTGCATGTATCATAAATAATTTTTTTTTGGTTTTTGTTTGGGAAACTTACGCTCTTATACTATATTAGCACTCTCTTTGTTCTGGTGAATATATTTTTGTAAACTATTTTTAGTGTTGAACTCAAGTTAATTGAACATTTCGAAGTTAAACATTAAACACTACTTACAAACAACGCGTTTAACATCCAACTAGTTATCAAAATATATTTAAGGGTTTGTTACACATTACAATGAAAACGTTTAACAATTTAACGCAAACATTAAACTCGAGTTTATTCACAGACACGTAATTTAACTTCTGAACAGTTTTCTGAATCTAAAAAAAATCCAACGTGTCACGTTTCCCAAACTCTGCCTTCGCACACAAGAGGTCAACTTACATCGAATTTATAGAGTATGTTGTTATTCCAGAAATCGCCGTGACATATAACCGAGTAGGGCGCATATTCCGCGCCATTTACCGCATTCATACAAATTCCTTGAAAATTATCCTCAATTTTATGCAGCGCCAGCAGCACCTCACGCATTTGTGGCGTATCCTCGCCGCTCAACTTCAAGTCCGCCTCTAGCAAGTGACGCGTGCGTCGCACATATTTCTTGCCAAACTCTACGGACACCTCCTCCATATCCGCCGTAAAAAGATTATCATCCATTTGCGCGACTAACGCGGCAAATCGCGTTGGCTGACGCGCTTGCAATACAAACGACATTGCATGCAACTGCGCGAGCGCACGAAAAGCGCACACCACCAAATCATATGTGGGTAGGTTAGTGCGTGAGTTGATTGCAAAAGCTACAGCGGTTAAATCCTCAAAAATTATAAACTCAGCGTCGTTTTTCAGCGTTGCGTACAACATTTGCGGCGCGGCACTGAACGGTGCGCGTGCTACCGCTGTGGCATGCAGCGCGGCAAACTCACTAAACACTTTTGCATACATAAACACTTCACGCGTGTACATGTCCTTGACGCGCATATGCGCGCGGCGCGCTGGGCTTGTAGGCGCGATCTTCAGTATCGTATGCAGCGTTTGCAGCGCCGCTGACTTTGTTGGCGCGCTTGTAGGCGTTAAACGCACCTTCAGCACGGAGCCATAGGAATTCTCACCAGGTCCGCCTATGGCTTGCACAGCTAATTCGAAATCGTCGATCGCATGGCGTTTGGCTAACTCACGGTAAGCGTCTAAAACTTGCGGTGAAAGTGTTTCATTTTGTTGTTCCGGTGACGCGGCGTCGGTAGGCACACTTTTTATCACAATATTTTGTTTTGCTTTGCTCTCCAACATGCTTGAAGTGTTTACAAATGAATTACGAAAACAAATAAAGCAACACACCCACACAAACTTGTAATTTCGCGCGCACTGTTTCACTACGCGCTTATGCAAAAGTAAGTAAGTTTTAAATTTTTGTTTTGTTATTGGCGGCGCGCGCTTACGCTGATTGCTCTTCCGCGTCGTGTGTGTCCAATTGACTGACTGATTCCGCCAACTAGACGTCCGCAAGCTTTTATAGCAATCGGTGAGCACTTGTGGGCGCGCGCTCTACGTTCTATAGGTTGTCAAGTGTACGCCGACTATTTGCTCCGCTGCTCTCTGTTGCACTCAATAGCACTCGCGCATTATAACGGTGACATTCACGTGCTTTTAGCGGCGGAAATCGTTTTTACTTTGCTAATATCACGGCTGTTATAGTTGTTGTTGTCGCTTCCCCCGATCGTTAGGGTAGCTAGCTGTTGCATTCGCTTGAGTGCATTCAAGCCGCTTCGTTTTTGTTTTGCTGTTTTCGGTTGCGCGCTGCGAGATATTGCACCCGGTTTAATAGCAAAAACAAAAACTTTTGTAAACTAACGATCACTACAACACAAGTCAATGAACCCGATCGCCAAATGTAGAATGCAATAACAAAAGAAAAAGTAGTGAGCTTTTACTTAGAGAATTATTGTCTATGATTAGATCGCTATTTTCTGCATTCATACACCGATATGTTTATACTTATAGGTTCAAGGCTGTTCAAGTGAGCGCAGATAAGTAAATAGTTTGAGTGGTAAGTTTTAAAGGTTCATTAACCGAATTGATTAGTAAGCTATTGGGTAAGTAGTTAGTATTAGTGTTAATATATTACAATTCTTGTAACTATTTTAATTCTAGTTATTTAACTATTTTATTAAATATTGCCACATAAGTGTTTAACATCGCTATTAGTCGCGATTATGGCAATTAAGCTCAAATATGTGAACATAACCTCACGTGTGTAATCTCAAAACTCAAAAACGCTTTAAAATAAAATTTAAATAGCCTTTGCAGGGAACAGCGAGACAACAAGGCGATGTAAGCTTAGTATGTGATAGGCTGTAGGCTTTATAAAGCTGAAATCTTCATTCTTAAAATTTTCAGTAACTTTACCATACTTTTACTTTTACATTTTATCGGAAGTTGTCTTGAGAGTCAGCTGATTGTCAAGTAATTAATATACATATATACTCCTTTATTTACCACTTCAATTTTTTAAGTACTGTCTTTTCAATACTTAAGAGTTCTGATGACCTGAGCTCTTTAGCGTACAATTAAATAGTACTTTGTTGCTGATTGTCATTCAATACTTTGTCAACTAACGAAACGTTGTCCGTTGACATCATTGTAGCCGTCTTCACCTCAAAAACTTGTACCACGTAGAGTTTTACACAATTCTTTAATGCTTATGACTTGAATTAAACTCTTCATATTTAGGTTAAAAAGAACATAAACATGTCTTTGAAAGATAAGTAGTCAACACAATCAACTACTATGGCTACCAAAATCAGCTCAGATCACAACTTCGAGGAATTCGAAAGTTGGGTTACGCGACAAATTTATGAAGAATGTGAATCAGGTTTGAAAAATGTCGCTTCATCAACTAACATCACACTATAGTAAGTTGCTTATGCCATTTAAGTCACGGGAATCGGAATTCTGTAATCATTCTTTAAAATCTTAAACCGAGCTTATCTCTGGAGGTTATGTTAACATTTCCACTGGTGATGCTGTTTTAGATTTTAAGTCTGAAACTCGAAACTTCAGAATAAAAAACCAAATTTTAGAGACAATATCTATAAATATACACTTAAAATTTTAAAATAATGTTACCATAGTTTATTTTTTTTTAATTCCCAAAAATCGCCCTTTTTATGCTTATACACTAGGTGTGCCTTAGCACTTAGCATCTGCTAAGTTCAATCAAATTTTTTTTGGCGGTGTATAATAGATAGGTTTGCCCCAAAAATAGAGTTGAATAATAAATTTCAGCTTACATATTAAAAATATATGTATGTATGTGAAAACAAATGCGACGCAAAATCTATTAACAATTTTAATGCGGAATTGAGCAATTTGCCAATGCAATAAATATTACTTACAAATGCTTGCTATACGAACAGGCACTATAAGTTTTTGTCTGTGCAAGTGCAAACATGTTTTATTGCTGTGCGGACGGAAAGAATCCCCCAATAGATAAACACACACACATATTTGCAAATTTATCAATGCACTTATGTGTGTTTGTGTGCGTGTGCTCACGGCTACTAAACAATGCATTCATAGTGAATTCGCGGTCAATGTTCTGGCTGAAGGCCGTTTCTAACGCCAAACCGAGCGGTCAACGCACACACCGCTGAATAGAATGCATTATGCACATAAATGTCTGTTTACATACACACATACATATGTACACTCGCTGTTTAGTAATCGGCCAATAGTTGTAAAGTGCATGCGGTGCAAAAGCTTTTTAGACACATACATACACACATTTCTAGATATAGTATGTAAAAAGCATGCACTTGGAACAACTTAATGTAAAGGTAATACAAAAGAAGAAGGGAAGTTGGTTGTCGGCCGTTGTTTGCCTACACCACTGTCACGGCAACTGCACTTACGAATGCGCTTGCCGTTTGTATACGGATATGACTGCATTTAGCGCAGCTTATATATGATACATGGTAGAGTACTTATATAAATTTATTTATTTAATTATGTACTTACACATATGCAGACAGACATATTTAGAAGTATATTTATATATGTAAATTCAACTCCTCTCCAACATCGGGACATCCCTATGGCTTGGACAATAATCCAAGGCAAATAAAAACGTACACTTTGTATGGCAGCAATATATTGTAGTGGTCCGATATTGGCGGTTCCGATATATATATTTGGGATAAATGACCCTTTTGTTTATATTTTATAGGGTCAATGACCCTTTGTTTACATTTGCCGAGGTCAATGGGCCTTTTGTTTACTTTTATCAAGTCAACAACCATTGTTTGCAGCCAATACCCAGCTTCCCTTGAGGTCACCTCATGACTTTTAAATTATATCACATCGAGACGCGTGAGTCACCTAAGCACTGGCCAGGCACCGTGCTGCTTTACTTATATAGAACCAGCTTCCCTGAAGTCACCTCATGACATTTAAATCACATCACATCGAGACGCGTGAGTCACTAGTCACTGTGCACGGTCACGGTGTGTGCTTTACTTATATAGAGCCAGCTGCCAGCCAGTTTCCCAGAAGTCACCTCAAGAATTTTAAATCACATGACATCGAGGCGCGTGAGTCACCTAAGCACTGGTCAGGCACCGTGCTGCTTTACTTATATAGAGCCAGCTGCCAGCCAGTTTCCCTGAAGTCACCTCAAGAATTTTAATTACATCAATCGAGGCGCGTGAGTCACCTAAGCACTGGCCAGGCACGGTGCTTCTTTACTTATATAGAGCCAGCTGGCAGCCAGCTTCCCCTGAAGTCACCTCATGACTTTTAAACCACATCACATTGTGGCATGAGTTATTTAAGCACTGGCCAGGCACGGTGCGTGTTTTACTTATATACGGTGCTTGCTTTTCTAATATATGTCAGTTGCCAACTTGCTGTATTGTTCAGTTCGGACCACTATATCATACAGCTGTCATACAAACTGCCCTATCAAAATGATGTAGAAGAAGACGTCAAGATGTAGAAATGTGGCATTGTCTACCTCTGCTGCTGTTAGAATATATTTTCAATATGTATGTATATAGTCTCTTGAGAAAACTGTCGGTTTTGCAATGTGGATGGATTATTCTTAAAATTGTACTGTGAGTTCTTAAAATACTCTTAAACTTAAAATAAAAGTATTTTTAATATTCAAAATTTTAGGCTGTCACACTAGGTGTGCGCCTTAAGAAACAACGTCAAACTTCTGAGTGTATTTCTGAGTTAAAATATTGTCTCTTTATATCAAATAGCCGTTTGGAGTGTTTGTAGCCTTCATTTTGTTAACCCTCGATTGAAACGCGAACACATTGCAATGTGCGACCAAGGCAACAAATATTATATTGTAGGTAGTTTCAGCCAAAGTGCAAGTTCACCGACACACCAGAGCCACACAACAAAATGCCAGCTCAGCCATTTAATTATGCAATTCACTGCAGTTGAAGTGTTTTCCACGCTAAACAAATTCGTAAAATAAAAAATAGTTGAAATAAATGAATGCGACTGTAAATTCAGAAATGTTATCACACCAAAGCCGCTTGATAATGCATGAGGCGAGTCTATAAATGTTTGTGTTTATATGTACAATATGTTGTACGATATACAAGTAGTATGTATGTTAACGAGAGTAGTGATTGTAGCGTAAATGTTTATCTCACTTGCGAATAAAAATGCGAGATAACAACTCTTCAACCTCAATTTACCGAATACTACGAAATTTGTGTATAACACGAAACACCGTTACAGGCACAAGATCATTTTTAGTAAACAAATAAATGTATTAAATATTTGACACCAAGGGCGGTTATTGGCTTTGATGCAGTAGTATTTGGATTCTGTATACAATTGTGTAAATATAATAGGACGCTGCATGCTAATTGCATTGATGATTAGCTTCCGCATGTGTTTAGAAAATGTCTAGATTTATTTATATATATATATATATATTTAAAATTTCATTAGTGTAATTCGAAAATACGAAAAATTTAAATCTTAAAATTTTCAATTTAGTTTTTAGAATTTTGAGAACAAAACCGTTGTTGTTGTGTGTAGTAACGATTATCTAGTCGACAAACAGTCTTTATGTGAGCAAAACAGGAGAACTGCAAAGAACCCGAAATAATTTTGCACAAGAATCAGCAACTCAGAACTTACTAAATTTTTTTGTCATCCCCCTTCCATCCATCTTCCCTTCACTCAAAATTCTTAAAACCTAAAACAAAGTCCATTTATCGAAAATAAAGCTAAAGTCTTTACTCGATCTTTTCTGTAGCACCACTAGGATATATAAAAATGTTCAAGCCTGTCGCCTTGCGAGCAATTGGATTGCATAGAGACCATACATAGACTGTTACTTTGACGGTAGGTGACTGCGTTACCTTTCGAAAACCATTTGCTTTGATATATAAACTGAGAAAGATTCCGAGATTTTCTGTTATTTGTGATACTATATCCTTTTTATCAAGCGAGTGGGGTGAAGTGCATGTTTTCAGCCGAGTTCAAAAGATTTTGAAATTGATTTATTTCAAAAATTATCTTGCTTGAAATTGACTGCGAAGGGAGTTAGCCAAGCAAGTTTTAAAGTTTATTTGTAGTTCTCCT